TGAGATGTTTGTCCAATGTACATAGCAGACGGACACTTTCAGCACATGATAGCATAGATTATATTTCTGGATGCGCAGGAATATGTGTGCTTGATCTTATAACTCACTTGGTTAGGTCCAATAATGGTATCAGCAGAATGAATATGTGGACAAAGCTGGCAACGGGGTTTGTTGCAAGGGAAGGTACCAGGGTTGGTATTAGTGTGGTATGTCCTGTGGTGGTTGGTAAGAATCATCTTGAGGTTAGGTGGTTGTCTATAGGAGACTATGGGTCTGTCTCCCAGAGCCTCTTTAACCAAGTGAGTTATAAGATCAAGAACACATATTCCTGCACATCCAGAAATATAATCTATGCTATCATGTGCCGAAAGTGTCCGTCTGCTATGTACATTGGACAAACATCTCAGACACTTCGCCAAAGGATTAATGCCCACAAAACAGATACAAAACTAGAGGGCTTTCTGCACTGAGCATTCGTGTGCCGAGCTTAATATAGGGTGAATCCTTAAGACTGGATTCTAGTCCCTTGAAGACTGGTTTAAACCCAAACCCAAGAACCAACCCTTTCCCCTGCTGAAACACTGGGCATGGTCAGATCCATGACGGGGCCCTCAGCATCCATCCCACAACTATTTGGACAGATTTCAGTGGATGCCCTTCACGGAGCCCCACTGAAGCCCACCTTCACACCTGTAGCTACAGGCGTAGGTGTGGGATGGTGTGTATGTGTGTGTCTGTCTTTGTAACTCAGCTCAGTCATTACCACCTGGTCCCTCAACCACAGAATTGGGCCCTTAATCTGCAGTGGAGCAGTGTAACTGATCAATGTCCACACTTCATATTTTCATACATTCATTTTAACATTTTCCCCAGCATAAAACCCAAACCAAACCCTCTTGTGTTTGTGAAGGAATGTAACATACGCCATGACTTTTAGGCATTTAGCTTGTTTTGTGAGCCACTTGCTACATTTGGCAATTGTTGGCTGTCATGGACGCTAGCCCACAAGGTGCTGAGTTCGCTGGTCTTGATCCAGCAAAGCATTTAAGCCTATAGTTAAGCATGTGTGTAAGAGCTGACACTCAGCACCCTTGCAGGATTGACTCGCCAAAGAGGTGAATGCCCTGCCTTCGTAAGCTCAGAACCCTGCTCTTCCGCAAATGCTTCCTCCCCGCAAGCCAGGCTGATGACATTATAAAAGCCACAAACAAACTCGATACAATTCAGCCTTCTCAGCTGGAGCTTGCTGAATCCAAATCTAGCATGGCACTAGAATATTAATGGCCTGACAGTTCTAGCTGACCCAGACGATTCATTCCAGCAGGATTTGTAATGCCAAACAAAGCTTCCCTGATGTCTCAGCCTCCCGCATGACATGCCATTACCCTCTTTCATCACCGTGCTTTATGGTGTTTTTGTTGACCTGTGACATGAATGAGATGGGCTCTAATGATACCGGTACAAAGCACGTGGCACACAAGTGAGCTGTCTTTTCCTGAGCAACAAGGAGCAATCGTTGATGTATTGCATGTATTCCTGCACCAATACAGCGCCAAGTCCCCTGCTCATTACTAGGCTCATCTCAAATGTTTGGAACCACATTTGAAAACCTTTCCTCATTTTGGGTTGCATGTGTCTTTTTAAAAAAGGCCCTTGTGATGGATGGTGGTTAGGCTCTTTCCTGAGTTGTCTAGAAAGGGTCCTTTAGGACAGCGGTTCTCAAATGTCAGTGTTGGTAATCCCTTTCACACAGCATAACCGAGTGCAACTTTCCCTCATAAAAACACTTTTTAAACATTTAGCACTATTATTAAATGTTTAATAAAATTGTGCCCCCCCCGGGGGGGGGAACACATGACCTCCAGTTTGAGAACCCCTGTGTTAGGAATTGCTTGCCCTTATTGTGGAGTTGTGCAGAATCAACCATGAGGAATTAAGGATTTCCATAATGTGCTAAGAAGTAGAGAGCAAGGCAAAGGGAACATGCATTAAGGTCCAAATATTGAGACATATAGCCCCTAAATTGTGTCCACTTATGTATATTTTGTGGGAAAGATTTAAGTCCATTACTACAAGCATGTACCTAAATATACACCATGTGTCTGTTCTATTGCTAACAGCACTAATGTAATTGTACAGTTGGATAAAAGGGGTGGGTCAGAACTAAATTCCTGACATAGGCACCCGCAAATGTTGATAACATCAAGCTCAGAAGACCCAAGTTTTACACATTTATGGTATTTATTCACACACAGGCTCTTTATCAACTTATTGCAAGTTCTTTCCCAAAAGGGGATTACTTAGAACTTTCTCCTCTGTATGCTTCTCTTTCATTAGGGGTTTTGGTGTGATTTGTGAGGTAGATATAATCAGTTATCCCCTTACATTAAAAAAAATCCTGTAATTCCATGTATGATAACACAGTACCAAGACAGACATTGAGCTATATCTGGCAACCCTTTACTGTCCCTCCTGCTTCTATCCCTGCTGCTGACTTCTGTTGCTCTTCCTGTTTCAGAGCTTCAATCTGCAGCCAGTCAAGCTTGAGAAGCCACCCCAAAACAACCCCACTTTTATGAAATTTAGAATCACAGAATCTTAGGGCTGGAAGAGACCTCAGGAGGTTATCAAGTCCAAGCCCCCTGCCCAAGGCAGGATCAATCCCAACTAAATCAACCCAGCCAGGGCTTTGTCAAGCCAAGACTTAAAAACCTCTAGGAATGGAGATTCCACCACATCCCTAGGTAACCCATCCCAGTACTTCACCATCCTCCTAGTGAAATAGTATTTCCTAATATCCAACTTAGATCTTCCCTACTGTAACTTGAGACCATTGCTCCTTGTTCTGCCATCTGTCACTACTGAGAACAGCCTCTCTCCATTCTCTTTGGAACCTCCCTTCAGGAAGTTGAAGGCTGCTATAAAATCCCCCCTCACTCTTCGCTTCTGCAGACTAAACAAACCCAAATCCCTCAGCCTCTTCTCATAGATTATGTACTCCAGCCTCCTAATCATTTTCGTTGCCCTCTGCTGGACCCTCTCCAATGCGTCCACATCCTTTCTACAGTGGGGGGGGGAGGGGGCAGAACTGGATGCAATACTCCAGATGTGGGCTCACCCATGCTGAATAAAGCAGAAGAATCAGTTCCCATCGGCTGGCAATGCTCCTACTTGTTGGTGTGTTGCGGACAGACTAATATGCTTGCTGAATACTTAGACATATTGGATCAGATTCCATGGCCAGAACAAGTTTGCTACCGCCTATCATCTCTATGTGGTCCTCCAGGTCTCCAGAAGCATGTCTATTCTCACTAATAAACTACAACAATTATGTCTTAATTCCTATACTTTAAGTGTTCTAACTGCCTTAACATCCTGCAGAATCTTGCAGTGTTCTGTATCCTTTGCGTTCCCTCAGTCTCGCAGACTGAAAGTGTAGAATCCATGACCCAAGATTACTTTTTTGAGTCTGCAATCCTTTTAGCTAAAACCAGCCTTTAACATGACTGCCTCTACAGGGCCTTACCCTAATAAAACAGGCCTGTCATCATAGCAAAGCCTAATAACCCAATTGTAAGAGTTGCTGACTTGCCCCCTTGTGTTTCAGGTTAAGAATTTTCCATTAGTATTGTACCCTAGTGGGGTTATTCAACTAAAGCAAACTTAAAATAATACATGACAAGGTCATAGGTCAACAATAGATTTGGGCCAAAGTTGGAACAGGCAACTGGGACCATGTAGGGTGACCTCGTACGGGTTCAGCCACCTATGCTAATAACCCGCCGTTTTCTCAGGTCTGTTTTGAACTCTGTGGTGTATGTTCCCCCTCAGTGGCCTCTCTTGGCAAATTCATATTATAAAACAAAATAAACAGCTCTTAAAGATATTGTCCTATACGCTAACTTTAATTTTCCCTTGTTTCATTTGATGTCAAACACATACTTGGGGCAGTTAACCCTTTCCACTGCTTGCGCCTCCACCCTCTATGGTTATGCTCTGTTTTTAGCACACCAGCTTGATTAGAGCTAGCATAGACATGCCCTTTGTGGTCATAAAACAAACCCTCTTATATTTCTAGTCTCAAGTATTTGTAACTCATCCATATACTCCCCTTTGCCCTGGGTCTTCACAATTCAAACTCTCTGATCCCTTTGTCCCCTTTAAAGGACGTGCTAGTGTTATTTAATAGATTCTCACTGATCTTGCTGTCACTGAGCTCAGTGGAAACCACTGCATGCTCAGCACCTTTGAGTATAAGGCCATTTACTTAGCTGCATTATTATGTAAGCAGGAGTCTAACTTTAGGCATCTGTTTTTGAAGATCTTGGCTGTGGGTTGTATTTCCAGCTCTCTTGCGGTCTTTCTTTCGATCAAACCAGGAAACTTCTCTGTGCCTGAGTTTTCTGACTTGTCACACTGGGGTGATAATTCTATTTTCTGCCTTATAAGGAAGTTGTGAACCTAAATTAGAGTTGAGAGAGACAAAGTGAGGTAATATCTTTTGGACCATCTGTTAGTGAAAGAGACAAGCTTTTGAGTTTATACAGCGCTCTTCTTCAGGTCTCTGATAACTATCAAAGTGTTCTGCGTAAGATCATAAACATGTCTCTTTTACCAACAGAAGTTAGTCCAATAAAGAGACATGACCTCATCCATTGTGTCTCAATACCCTGAGATTGACATGGCTATTACAACACTAAAAATTAGTTTTTGTAAACTGTGTGGTGATCTTTGTATAAAAGGTGTTATAGACGCGCAAAGGATTATTATAACATGGGAAGGAAATCGGAGCATATTAAGAAACCTCCCCACAAGCCAGACTTGCTCATCTCTAGAACCCCGTGAAGATACATACTTTGTATCTGCATCTGATCCACAAACATGGTTCACAGGTATAAAGCTTTAAAAATTGATATTTGCAGGTTTGCAGGGCTCTACTAATCTTTAGAGTGGGAAAAAAACCCAAAACAGGAAAAGTCATATTTCATTACTTTTATTAAAATAAAAATATCATGCATTAATACACAGACATTTCTGAGAAACAGTTATAGGCTATTTTAAAACTACATTATTTTCTGCATAAAATAAGTCAAGCTGGTTCAGCATGCAGCTTACGTAATGGAAGGGATTGGATGAAAGGTGTTGTAGTGGCTTTTTCTTGGTGTACAAAGGTCATCTATAAAGAAAAAAGTACTATTTAACAAGTCAGTATAATGGGGACTTATCCAGGCTGATCTTGCACTTCATGTATCTAGTTCCAGCTCCTTTGACCTTTTACTATCTCATCTTAATATATTTTGCTTCCAGAGGAAGCGTAAGATTTTCTTTACCTTTTATGTACTAAGGATGTTAAGTATCGAGTAAATGACTAATCGTGTACTCGATACAATATATATCTAAGTACATGATAAGTCGATAAGGGACCATTGCGGCTCTACAGCTTAAAAATAATAGGAGCCAAGTGTGCAAGCAGCCTGGCTCCTACTTCATTTAAACAGAAGAGCCACAGTGGGAGTAGATCTGGGACCTGACACAGTGCTGGCTTTTGCCAGCTCCAGACCACTGCTGTTTTGCCTTTTAAATGTAATAAAAGCCACCCAACTCTTATTACATTTAAAAGGTAGAGCCGCAGCACCTGTTTCCCCTTCTCCGTGCCTTGCAGAGACGGTGCTGGGGAAAACTAGATTTTAAGCCAGCTCCCCCCAGCACCTGTTCTTATTCCTCTGATATAGAGGCAGCAGTGGGGGCCGGGGGGGAGGAGGGGTAGAATGCAAGCAGTCAACTTGATTACCTGATAAGCCTAGTCTTATCAGGTAGTAGTGCACTCTTATATCCCTACTATATACCTCATTGACATCTCCATTACATTTAGAACTATGTGTTTCCCTTAATCTTTCTATGCAACACCCATTTCATTCAACAGGGAGTTCCACCATTTAAATTAATATCCTATATAGGGTATGATCCTAACTTATATGGTTTCCATTCTTCTGCAACCCTGCTCATTCATGCTTCCATGCTGTTAGTCTGAGAAACTCTTTTCTATCATGTATTAAAACTACATTTCATTACTTCCTTTTTTCATACCACTATTTAGTCTGGAGTCAGAGGTTGTAAGTTTTATTTATTTTTCCAGGCATTTTTCACAGTGTCATTTTTCCCCTTACGTACTAAAGTCTTTTGTGGGTTTTCAGATTATTTTAATGTATTCATATTCCCTGCCCTTATCCCAGAACAATTCTTGTTCTGTTAATTGTGGTGGAGAGGGAAGCTTCAGACGGGGACTTTTTTAGTTCACAAATGGGCAACAGCATGGTCTTCAAATGCAAAATATCCTGTGGATTTGAGCTTGAGATTTTGCTTTGACTTGGTTTTGGTTTTGTGATAAAATTGAGAGACATTGCTGTGCATTTCATAGAGTGTGGTGGCCAAAACTCTTAGTTGTATTAGATTGTGCTATGTAACTCCAATAGTGAACATTGGTCACGAGGGCAGGATGAATGTGCTAGAGGAATGGTGCCTTGTTATTAAGATCAGAAAGCTCTGGTTAAATCCCCATAGTGGCACCTTTTTAAAAATCAAAATCTTTCAATAAAAGACTCAACATTAGCTCTTCCATGGCTATTAGCCTTACAAACCAGCCAACCTGATTTATTCCCCTTCAAACACAATACTGTATATTACAATAAATGTTCTCCAAAAATTAAAAATTAAGAATAATATACATCTTATTTTTATCACTCAATATACAAACAATCTTTGATCAATAATATAAACCATTAAACTGTATAAAAGACAGCATTTCTTATTTGTACAAATAGTGCTTTCATAGTTGATTAACTTTACATTGCTAAAAGATATTGTTTATATGGGTATATTGCTGGATAGTTTATTACAACCAAGGCATTACTCCCAGTTGATTGCATCAAAGACACCTAAAACTGGCACTGGATCCATTGGATCTCTATGCATAGTGAGAAGGATTTTAAAAAACACTCAACATCGGCTTCACTCTGCTTCCACTGAAATCAATGATTGCCTTGAAGAGGAGCAGAGTTAGGCCAATGCGGATAGCTTTTCAAAACCACCATGCGTTAGATAGATTCTAAGCGATTAGAAAGATGTTTTGGAAGAATCTCCAGGGGCACTGGAGAGCTAAGCATATGTACCGCAATCACAAATCCCTCAGGAAGCTATTGGTTAGGTTCAGGGCTATGGATTTTGATTTTTCAGCTTGTTCATAAGGAGGGTAAGTTACTCTAAGGCAATAATGAGGTGAGGGCCACGTTTTTATATAGATAGATAGATAGATAGATAGATAGATAGATAGATAGATAGATAGATAGATAGATAGATAGATAGATAGATAGATAGATAGATAGATGAGAGAGAGAGAGAGAGAGAGAGAGAGAGCAAAATCCCAGCTTCAGGCATTTTGCCACTCTCTGTTGTGACCAGGGTTTGGCTCAATGCATCTTGTGGTTTTTGACAGCCATGTTCCAAATTCTCTCATTCGCTCTGAAAGAATCCCTTTCTTTGACTTTGACACTATCACAGGTTTGCTATGCATTCATTCCTAAGCTTTACCTCCTTCTCTCAAAGTCACCTTAATTCCCATTAGCATTAATTGGAAAATATGATAATTTCCCATCCAGAAGCCTAAGGAAACATGGGTGGCCTGAAAAGATGTACAGTCTCCAAAAGCAGGAAGAACACGTGGGTGGGAGACAGAAGTGCCTCATGAAAATTTTATGCTTTCAGTTCACACCCCATACTTAAAGAAATAATGTAATCAAAACTGTGCTTACATGACAGTCTTATCTGCCTACAAACCTTATCCAGATGAAAAGTGATCTAATCACTCATTTGCCTCTCTTTCCCCCTCCCCCCCAGAAACAAATCTGAAGTCTTTGTTCAGTTTTTTTTCAGTCCCTATTTGGCCTTAACTCCCCCTAATTTAATGAGAGTTTTGTCCACGTAGAATGTAAGTCAAAATTGAATAAAGGCATCAGATTTGGGCCCATTAGTTACACTGGCTCAATTTGAATCTGTGGGCAAATCCTTGTTCTCATGAAAAGCCTTATTGACTTCGGGAAGGCTCAGGCAGATCCTTTTGTACGATTATGGGACAGTGATCTTCCCCCCCAGATAAGAAGCTGTGGAAATGGTAATCAATTGGCATTTTGATTGATTACTTTAAAGCAAGAAAATAAGATATTATGTCTTTGGTCCTAATGCAATCCATTTAAAGAGCTATTGAACAGTGTCTTGTTTTACTTACAGAAATTTTTATTTTATTTTATTTTATTTAAAAAAGGGTCTTTAAAAGGCATATGTTAGAGAAGAAAGACGAAACAAAACTTATTGGGAAAGCAAAGCTAGAAAAATGGGATTTCAATATAAAAATCCGGGGTAGTGGTGATTTAAGAACATTACAAAACACTCTGGTGAAGTGTCCCGCGTGGCAGTGTAACCATACAGAGTTTAAAATTTCATTACTGTACATTTTCTTCAGGAAGAAGGATACAACTAAGATACATTTTCTCACTTTGTCCCAACTAAAATGTTTTCTCACAGAGAAATGTAAAAAGAAGAGAGGAAAAGAAAGAGCAACGGCAATTTTACCATTGGATAGTGAAGAGGTAGCAGCTTCTGTGCTATAGTAGATGTTAAACTTCTAACCTAAAAAATGAATATTTGTCAGCAAATGCAAAGTGTCTCTTTGACATGGAGTTATTCATCCCCTTATAGACAGACACCTCAAGCACTTCTCAGTATGAAGTGCTTGAATCATTTCAAGTCCTATGGTTTTGACTGGATTTGGAATACATACTGGATTTGGAATGCATACTGGATCTTCTGTGCACAGGATAAATTTCACATTTATAGCATAAAGCTTGAGCAAATGGGGTTTGCACCCAAAAATAAAAAAATGTGGAAATTGAGAGGATTTTCCTCCCAATCAGCAGGTAGGGCACTAGGCACCTGCTTAACCACTCACAAGAGCTACGATCATCCTGAGCTGAAGTAATAGGCAATGACCGCTGTGCCTTCCTCTCTAAGCAATATTTGGGCCAGTGGATGTGTATTGTGTGTAGATCCCCAGGTAATGGTCCGCCAGTATAATTCCACCTGCAACCACCCCATCCCATGTTGGCCTGTTTCCTTTTCAGAAGCTATGTAATACTTCAGGGCCCTAAAGATCGGCTGAATGGAATAGGAAGGAGCAGCATTAAACATTTAAAAACAAATAAAAAATAGAAAAAATTTGAGAAGTGCCATGCATTCCAAATCGCTCTGACCAAAGAAATTTGTCAGGTTGTTTCACTTGACTTGGAAACGAGACAAGGGCATTGGACCCTGCAGAGAATTTACATTAGTGAAGCATTTTCAGACTTTCCCAAGCCAACTCCTTCCCAATGCAAAACAAAACAATTTACAGGTAAGTGAGCTATACTACACTGCTCTATACAGAGAGCACTAAAAAACACCAAACTTGAAAATTCTGACTTACGCCTTAAGTGTTCTGATATTTTGCAATTTAGTGGTATGATCTTGAAATGTAGTGTTTAAAAACAGCATTTTAAAATAAATATTAGCTAGGGATGTGAACAACTAGTCAACTATTTGATAAGCAGAGGCAGCAAGGGGCGGAGGTGGTGCTTCAAAGCAGCAGCACTGTGTGGAGCCCAGGGCCAGACCCTGGGCTCCACATGGTGTTGCCTCTTTGAAATGCCACATGCAGCCCCCCCCCCCGGGGCCAGATGGGGAGACATTTCAAATTGAATTGACTATTCAATTAGCCCATTAATGTAATTTTAATATCCTTAATATTAGCTGCTAAATTAGTGTTTATGATATTGTAAATACGCAAACTGCTGTCAGTGTTGTTCCCCTTTTTGTAACATTACAGTCCATACCCTTTATGAGAGGAATTAGAGAAAGTGTTTTAAAACTCCTTCCCATGTGAGTCTATGGTCCACTAAAAGCTGTTGTGGCCTGTTAGGTCTCACTATTCAGGAATATTTTTTAAAAAGAAATTTTATGTATACAACTCCCAGTATACCATCCTAGCCATTTTAAAATGGTTTTACTCTATTATGTATTAGTATTTAGGGAAACTCTTAAAATGGACCTGACTACAGATTCTTGATCATAATGGCAGGAAGTATTGGGGCTGCTTTATAATATATCAAATTGCAATTTTAATTTCCTTGCAAACTTTTCAAAATCAAAATCTATGTTTTGCTCAGATATTGCAAAAACATCCTCTTTTGGCTACTCTCCTGGTTTTAAACTGGAGATGCTCTGATGACTTTATAATGGAATCATAGAATGCCCAAGAAAAATGCAAAAAAGAAAATAAAGTTATAAATTAGGTTATGCCCTAATGCTGCAATAGTGTATGTAGCAATACAGCTGTAATCACAGCTTAATATAATAAAATAACTATTCTTGTCATATAGACCTTCTCTATAATGCAATAATCATGAAATCCCTAGTCCAACATAGCAAGTAATACCCCCCTCTGACAAAAATAAGTGTGCAATTGGGATATCAGTAAAAGATGCTCATTTATACCTAGAGTCTGTTTCATATCAGTTGAATTCTGAGACTAGATTCATAAATCGTCTAGCAAACTGGTAAGGACAGCTAAAGCTATGTGGACTTCACTGGCTACTTAGGTTTATTGGTTTACTGTAGATCGCTGAGTAGTGACATGCAGCTGTTTCATAGTCATCGTAAGAGACTGTGTGATTTACTCTGAAATCTAGCATGCTCTAATTTATCATTGCTTTTATAGCTACGTACAGGTGTATTTGCTCACTGTTGTACTCTAGCGACTGGCCCACAAAAAGGATAAGGGACTTCAGATTATTCCCAGCTGAGATGGAGCACATTTATCTAGAGAGAGGCCTGACTAAATGGCCTGAAATGCAGAAAGAAAAGATTTATAGTTCTGGGTTTAGTAGAACAGCAGCTTATCAGGATTCCATAAAAAGGGTGAAATTGCCACATAACTTCCATTGTTCTGTTTTGAACTCAACAATACAAAGTGGAATGTTTCCTGCTGCACAATTTGTGTCCTCTAGTAAAAACATCAGATCATGTAAACCATACATTTACCTGAAATAGTTTGATACAATTAAGCTGAGCTGATTTGCTAATATGCTCATTGCTCTTCATTTCTGCTGGTATTTGAATAACTTAGGGTGGCCTATTAGGAAATCATGACACACACTTATCAGAATTATTTTAAAATATTGTTAATTCATAAACCTAGCACATGTACTACATAAATTAGGATAGCCTGTAAGTTAGACAGACAGACAATCTTGTATCAGAAGATGGCTCCTATAATTCTCTGCTATGTTTCCCATTAAACAATACATTAAAAAAATGATAACTCATCCTTACATTTCTTAAACACTTTTAAAGGATCTAGCTGCATGACTCATTGGCTTTCATGATGATCTCTGCCAGCAACCACTTTAAAAATGTAGAGTGGTTAGTATGTATTAAATAGTTTTCATGCTACATAATGCTGGTAACTTATAGTGTTATTTTTATTTTAAAAATAACCATTTTACAGCTCAAAATATCACTTGATGAAATGAATCATTTTCAGAATAGCTTTGGAAAGCCTGTAGGAAAACAGGTAAAATTGTACTGTACTGTATTGCTTTGAGTAGCAAAATTAGTAAACTATCCATGATTTCTGTTGGAAAGTCATTTCATTTGACAAAATACAATCTTATTGTGAGTTTGTTAATGGGGAAAAAAGAATAAAAGATTGTTAAAATGTCTGGCTGTGTACATGGGTGAGAGTCTGTGTGAGCATGTGTGTGTCCAGTTCACTTTTAACATAATATTGGGACAAAATTTTGCTCTCAGACAAGTAAATTGTATTGGAGAGCAGAATTTTTTTCAATGTTTTAATTGCAAGAAAGTAATATAAGTTGTTACATATTCGCTGGAAGGCTATGGCTGGGATGCAATCGTTGCAAGTGAGATTTGCCCATAGAGGAGGATGATAAATATATTTTGACCAAATTTGCTCTTCAGTTCCAGACTCTGTACTGTTAGAGATGTATTACGTGCATTGGTTTTCAATGAAAACATGCACTGCATTGCTCTAACATGAGACATTTTACACTGCCTGTCTTCGTTTCTGCCCCCTCTAACAAGCCTGCCATGACAATATTTTAAGGGTTTTTGACCTGATCCCAGTCTCGAATACAATATTTCAACTGGAATTTACACAGAGGTATTCCAAACAGTGGAGGAAGAGTGAAATTTGACAGTTCCCTGATGCTATAGATGCATTAATACCATAAGAATAAATGCTACATACTTTCTATGTTACAGTTTTCGTGTCATCTCAAGTAACTTCCTAATGATTAGCTATGAATCTTAGAGATGTATTATGTATTGATTCACATCTGGCTTCCGATCCAGCTAGTTGGCTAAAATGTTTTTTCCAGGAAGGCGCAGTCTGGAGGGTTGCCTCCCCATGACTGATTACTTTTTGCATCAATCCTTTAAAACTATTGTTTTTCACACTACTTTGAAAGAAGACAGCAACACTGTAAAGAGAAGGTATTAAAAGAACTGTGGGTGTTTTAAAGACTATACACAACATAGAGAGACAATCTCTAACTTCTTGTGCTACCATGGTTTTATGTACACTAGATATATTTTATATTTATTAAGCCAAATATTCATTTCGATTATTCCACTGTGACAATCAGACAAATAGGGTGGGACTTCAAAGGGGCCTGTAGCATTTCCAGCATCCAATTTCAGAAGAATAAACTAAGCCAGCAGTTCTCAAACTGTGGATCGGGACTCCTTTTTAATGGGGTTCCTAGGGCTGGCATTAGACTTTCTGCCCAAGCTCCACCATCCATGACCAAAGTCCCAGGGTACACTGGGGCTCAGGTTACAGTCCTCTTGCCTAGGCTCTAGCTTCAGTCCCTTCTCCTGAGATCAAGAGACTTTTTGTCAGAAAGGGGCTGCAGTACAAAAAAGGTTGAGCCCCCTAAACTATGCAATTGCATTCAAACACTTCAACCTATTCTTTTTCCTCTGATTCATTCTCACCGTATTTCCTTTATACCTAGCAATAAAGGCCACCCTAACACAACAGCAATAGTCATCCAAGAGACAACAGCTTCCCACATAGCAATACAGCAATTGGCAATAGTCTGCCACAAGTTTAACAGTATATCGATGTATTCCCCTCCCCCCTTTTCTTTGGGATTTTTATACAGGGAAAAAGGTTTTTTCACTGAGCAACTTTAAAAAAAAACCAGATCATCTCATTTCCTTGGGTTGCACTTTTGGCATTTCTATCTTAGCCACATATAAATGTTGTGTAGCTGGATTCTGATAATCAGCTCTCTCACTAATAAGCCAGTTAACAATCTTTTGCATTTCTTTGCTCGTTCTGGAAAATCTGTTCAAATGAGATTGAGACAGAGGGAACTAACACTTCATTTTTCAATTATAGTAACATCATTAAAATTTTTGTTTAAAATCTAATTTAACAAATGTAGAACTAACCAAGGGACTGGAAAGAAGAAAGGCTTGCATTCAACATGCAGAAAACAGACTTACAAGTACTTTATAAACATTTACAAACAACTCTTCCATGTGCTGAGTTCTTTCTGCTGGTGTCTAGCAGTAGTGGTCAGTAAGGTCACGTATGCTACCATCCAGTCCTTGTGCTAAATACACTGTGGGTTATAAAATTTCACCTATCTGTTCCATTAAAAAAAAACCCACTTCATCAAGTAGAATATCCATACTTCTCCCAGAAACATTTTTTTTCCTGTTTGTACCAAGAGGCAGTAAATAGAGTAAATATTTAAGATCCAATCATTTGGAACAGTATTCAACTTCCAACAGTATGAAAAAAATCTTCTCGGGGCGATTTAATAATATATTGCTTCCCCCCTCCCCTTTCTGGAGAGTCACACAACAATCCAATAAGCAACCATCTCATCTTGTAAAAGTTCCAAAAATTCCATTACAAATGTTTATAAAAATATGCAGCGTAGAAAGGAATTCTTACGGTTTATCCCAAAATGGCTTTTTAGGCTACCACCACTGGAAAACAAAAGGAATGCATCTTCAGTTTCTTATCTGCAGAAAGTTCTTGCTCTAGTCCAACAGGCATGTATGCATATGGTATGTGCCTAAGTTACATATGAGGATGGGCAAGGAAAAGCCCAAAATACACAGTAAAATAAGCTTGGTTAAGTCAGCCCACAGGCTTGAAAGGAAAAGTGTATCTGCCAGTGACTAATAATTGCTCTTCTGTCTGGTCAAAGTTTGATCCTGAAGCAGCTATATTGTTCATCTGAATTTTAACTGGTATTACTGCAAGAAGAGAGTTTTTCTGTGGTCATGCTGAGGCTTCAATGTATTCACTCTTTGGTGCTGCTACCCTTAAGTACTCAGGATTTTCTGCTGTAGGAACTTTAAATATGCCATTAGCCTTAGTTTCCTTAGGAAAGTAGTCCTGTTGGTAGTCAGGATTGTCCAGATTTATTTGGTGGTTGGCTGTTTGGTCTGAGTAGCGGGAGCTTTCCAAAACCATTGACACAAAAGGTGAATGGTTGGTGTTGAGATATTCTGGGTTGTTCACTGCTGTACTGTGGGAATTTTGATAGTTTGAGACTGTGGAAGGCTTTGGGTTCATTGGGAAAGAGAAGTTGTTGTAGATTGGATTCTGTACTACAGGTGCTTGTGGTTTGCTGTGGATTGACTGATTGACATATTCTGAGATTTAAAAAAAAGAAAGAAATTAAGGTAAGTAACAGTCCTTTCAATGATCTGATGTGTACTTTTAATCATGTGGAAACAATCTTTGCACACATCTGCAAAGTCTTTGGGATCTTCCTCAGGATTCTGAGACTTGGCCAAAGGCAAGACATTCCTTTGAATGGCATCAGATTTTCAAAACAGCCCCAGTCCCCAGAAATCCTAGCCAACGAGCTTAGCCAAGAGCTATCATGCATAATACTGATAGATTATGGAAATGCCTAAAAAAAAAAGAAGATCAACAGCAATCGAGACCCCATGCCCCCCAAAAATATGATGCTCAATGCTTTTCCCTCAGTGAACTGCAGTACTATTTAAGGACAAGGCACTGGGAGTATTGTTTTATTAAAACATCACTGTAACACTCTCACAGTACATCTACACAGCAGCCTTATTTTGGAATAACTAATGTTATTCAGAAATAACATAGTGTAAGTCTATACTACAAGCCTTCATTTCGAAATAATGTCAAGCTGGAGGACTTCTTATTCTGAGTCAATGTAACCCTCATTTCACAAGGACTAAGGGAAGTTGAAGGAAGAGTGTTTTTCCTTTGACTTCCTGCTGTGTAGACAGCGCCAAAAGCTGTATTAAGCTATTTCTACTTAAGCTATGCAACTGATGTAGCTGAAATTGCATAGCTTAATTCGACTTTAGCCCTGCTATATAGAAATACCCTTAGTAATCTTTTAAGCCAGCTAGTTCTGGCTCCAGTCACCTACTATATAAGTAAATGTGAGGTAGTGATTAGCAGCACTCAATATTTCATTGTGCCGTCAGTTCTACATGAGTATGTGTCTGTATTAAAAGCAGAAAAACAGCAACAATAAGCAATTTCTACAATAAAAACAATTAAAAGGACTAAAGAGTTCTTTGAGAGGTGTGAATAGCAGGAAAGAAACCACCGTGATAATGCACTCCCAACAAAAACTAGAAATCTGATTGGTGGTGGTGGATAATGTAATCAAAAAGCTTTCAGAAAATATCCAGGACATTTTTTTCTCCATTTATTGACAATGAAGAAAAACTGTGGGGATTATAAGGACATCAAAGACTCCTCCTTTGCTAAGAGTGGGAAGGAAAAAGATTACTCAGAGATCAGCAAGAATCTTCCAAGATCTAAAAAAGAAGCAGGTGGCATTCCAAGTTGCTTTCAGTGAATGAACTTGAGGATGAGAGGATACCTAGATGATTTACTCACCTGGAGCAGGCAGGAAGCCATCATCTATGCTGTCTTCCAAGAAGAGGCCTGTAGGATCTGAACTGTAACGCTGGACAAAGCTGTCATCTCTCACAGGGAATCCCTGCTAGGTTAGAGGGACAGGTTAAGAAAACGAGTATAGAATAGTGCATTTCACAGAGGCCGGTGTGTACTGATATGTGAGTGCAGGGGGAAAAAAGGGAGAGGGGGGAGAAAAAGCCAAGAACTGGTGATGAAATTGAGGCACTATCTGCAAAATTAAGACTTAATTCCTTAATTAAGTTCACAGCATTAATACAATGAGGAGATGTGTTTAACTGCAGCTGCTCACACTTACCCCATTTCTATCAATGCAGGTTGTGGCTGAATCGTTGCTTGTGGCACTCTTCAAAAGACAGAGAAAACATTTTAAAATGAGAAAAATAGGTTTTGCCTGGGAAATGATTAACATTAGGTGTTTCAACATGGATGAAAGGTTTCATACCAATGAATTCAAGAGGGGAGTTCGGGATGATAAGGGGCTGTTGAAAAATCCCTGGTGTGGAACGAGGTACTCATCTGCATCGACAATGTCCTCCATGTCTTCCTCTTCCATCAGGGTGCGATAAAACTTGGAGTCCGTAGGGCTTGGCAAGTGCATTCTTTCATCTCCCTGTCAACCAAGCAACAATAAGAACAGCTTGCTGGACACCTTGTAGGCTGCACTACAACTAAGTGACTTTCTCTATGGAGAAAAAGGAATTTTCTGGAGATGCACAATTTAGACCTGGATGTAAATTTGCAGGGAGTTTAGACCTAGCATTTCTGATTATTAAATCTAGAGTATCTGCTTTTTAAAGTGTTCAAAATCTAACCTTTATAGATTGCAACAGGAATTATTATAATCCTGAACTAAGATCAAGGCTTGAAAAATGTACTAGTCCTGAAAGCATTTGTATAGGCCCAACTACGTGTTTCTAGCCCTGGAGGGTTGCAGCATATCAGACTTTGAAAAATGTGTGTTTCTGAAGTTAGGTCATGCCCCTATTTAATCAAATATTGCTTTTGTGAAATCTCTCGATAATTCCACAACATACACTAACAGCTCTGCTGTTCCACTACAAACTGAGAGCTATTTGAGATTTCTGCTGCTGCTATTGTTGTTCTCCTAAGTAGCTCTTCCCTCCACATTGAGTGCTAGCGAATGTTCTGAAGTGCACAACCCTGCCTTGGCAGGGAAATGGACTCAACGGTCTAACAATTCTCGTCCGTGCATCTTCTTTGATTCTATGAAAGATGAAGTGCCCTGGCATTCCTAGTTACATTTCTGTTCCTCATGTCCATATTTATTATTTGTCCTGTTCTTAATTTTAAGCAAACAGTAATATGTTAAAGCTTTTCCTGCAATCACTTGGAAATAGACTAGAACCATCAAGATGGTGTTTGGTTTTCTTTATTGGATATTTTGAAGTTCATGTGGTCGGGTTTCTTTTGAGATTTGGCCATGAAATCTAAGAACTCAGTAGTTTTCTCATCTGTGAGCATGCCATGTGTATGATTTCATATTTGCCAACTCCTTAGTTTTCTCATTTGTGAGCATGCCATGTGTATGATTTCATATTTGCTCACTGGCGCAGACTCCATGGGTGCTCTGGGGCTGGAGCATACATGGAAAAAATAGTGGATGCACAGCACCCACCAGCAGCCCCACCAATCCCTTCCTCTCCCTCGCTCACAGCACCGCCCATCTGCTGGTGATCTCATAGGCAGAACTGGTGGTGGTGGGAGGGGAGGGGAGAAT